AAAATCGATTACAGAGTCATGAGATTTTGTATCCTGTTCTATCTTGCATTTTTGTCATAAGGAATTTTCTTCTCCATTGCACACTATGTCAGTCTATACGGCAGTATATTCTAACTCTATGATCGAAACTTAACACTTATCATAATAATTGATATCAAAGTCAAACTAAATATCTTTTACACTGAATTATACATTCTTTTGGAATAAAAATATATCTTTTATCATTGCTAACCTAATTGATGGCGAAAATCGAATCGAATCAACCTACGTTTTAAAATATTAATACTTATATATTTATTTAGATCAAATAAACCTTTTTGTTTGACAAAATAACAATAATTTTTGGAGTACTAGAAATAATATTAATATTCGGTTATTTGTTATATTTTTTAATAATAATAATAATAACTGGTATTTATTTTCTCTCACATATTACAATCAGTACATCACAAAAAAAAAAAAAAATATTAGTAAGAATACGGCGAAATATGTACGTCCTAACGAAAGGTGCTGTATATTCAGGAGTATTTGGGTCTCTAGAACTCGGTCCAGGGCGTTCTTCTTCTATTTCGTAATAGTTGAGGACTTTCGAAAATCCTAAATGTTTATTGTGAACACAAATATATTCCAAACCACAGTCCAAACAGCTGGCTTTTCTGAACACGAGATTACATAAACCTTGTTTCCATTATACTTGATCAACATTTAACGTACCCTGGAATGGTTTCAAGTTTTTGGGAAGTAGAGCTCCTTTGGCTAAAACCTCATCTTCATTGTCAGTCATTATGATAATATTTTCAATGAACTACTTCACAACTGAACTGATGAAATATGCTGACGTCTTGACCAAAAGTCACAAGATCATCTGTAGTTCGTTTTAGAACTCCTACAATGCCATCTGGTGCCCCCTTCTCATGTCCAGCTTCACAGTAATTCCAGGTTATTGCCTTTAATTGTGGAAAATCCTTACAAAAAACTGAAATTATGTTGAAGATATATTTATTGCGGTACTGGGAACTTAGAGAATCAGATTGGAAATGGATGGTATCTACAATTGATCTCTATTGCAAGCTTAATAATCGGTATTAGGTGCGCCCAGATGGCTGCAGCGTGGTGTCACAAGCACTGGCTAACTGTGCATTACAGACTAATTCTAAGTCTATGGATCAACCAGTATTTATCTATAGCTATGGTCTTTGCTCTTGCTGTGCGTTCTGTTTAAAAAAAAAAGAGAGAGAGTAGCTCAGAAAGGCTAGAACCCAGAGCCGTAAAGCCAGCAAAGAGAGTTTGAGTCAGTGTTGCCAGATGTACGATTTAAATCGTACGCAATTCATACGACTTTTTACATTTTCTACCAATGCTTTATCGGAATCATACAGAAACAAAGTAAATACTTTGTTCCGTCTAATGAAAATTGTGCCTCGGATTGTAAGTGAATAAATGATGCAAAATGTGGATGATGAGTGGAGAAGATTACCCATGCTCTTTATTAAATTGATATGCCATCAAAAACATAACTTGTAAAAAAAACCAAGTCTCGCAAATCAGTTCTTCTACCGTAAAAAGTTGTGAGATCCATGTAATACCAAGTCGGTTAATTTATTCAGTTCCGACTTAAGGGTCCATCTGTCTCAAGTTATTACGTATTTAGCTAACCTAACAACATCTTATAGGGACCATATCAATATTAAAAATCTTTTATGTTATAAAAACAAAAAAAATATTTATGCAGTTGATGTATCTAGAAAACTAGACCAAAATTACAAAATATTTTACTTTCCCTTGATTTACACACTAAAAAATAATTATGTTTTAAATTTGAAGCTTCTACGTCTGCTACAAAATTAACTTGCTGACAAAATTAAGAAAATTTGACTAGTTATAATTCTTAAACTACTGATTTAAATTGAATAAAATTTGAAATATACCGTGTTTATATAATGCATGATTGGTAACTGAAAATTCAGTCTTCTAGTTTGATCCACAACGAAGTTATAGGGGGTCGAAAATGCTGAACTGCTTCGAGAAAAGGATGCTTTTTTGCTAGAATGGGCGGGGGCACTGCCGTGCCCCCAAATGACTATCCCGCCAGATGAATTTTGGGCAGAAATATATGCGTTAGATGACTTTCAGAATATAGCAAAATTTGCTCTCGATTTGCTATGCCTTCCTCACTCTAATGCAAATTGTGAACAGTGTTTTAGTTCAGTAAATCTCATCACAACGAAAATCTGCAATAGGCTCAGTATTGAGATAATGAACGCACGCTCTTAGTCAAACAACATATAAAACGCTTTGGTTGTTGTGTTGATTTTTCTCCAGTAAGAAAAATGTTAAATAATGTGAACAGTAATATATTATATGGAGAAAGACTAATAATTTTGTGTATTTAATTCTCAATTTTTGTATAATTTAATAAAACAAAGTTTAAAAAAACGTACTATTTCTATTTAATGACCTTCTAAGGGAATACGACTTTTTACTTACCCATCGTACGATCGTTCCTTCAATTCAAAATGTCTGGCAACACTGGTTTGAGGCAGTGCGATAGGGGTGTCCACTTTGAAAATACATCGATGTTTTTTTTCGATGTGATGCATCGAAACTGTGCATCGATATATTCCGATGCATCGGTTAAAAACATCGATGTTTTTTCAACATCGAGTACTTTTTCTGACTTCAAACAACCGACAATTTTGAATGATCTACTACTCTTACATCAGTACTGTCTGTCCGCACGCCTTTTGTGAGTGTGTATGTGTGTTCAAGGATGTTAGTTAGATAGATAGATATTCTTAATTGCATGACACACAAAGTGTCTTATTCGTAAGAACTAATATATTGTTAACAGACGTAAATATTCATAGTTATTTATTTGTATTATTTATATTTGTGTGTATATATGTATGTATACGTCTGTATGCATATATTTGTATATATGCATAAATAAGAGATATTTCTATAGTAGATTTGTTTTATATATTTGTAAAATTAATATATAACTTAGTTAATTATCATTTTTATTTTGTTATTATTTTATACTGCTACACCTACGTCAAATTCTCGTGGGTTGACTGGTATATTTTTTTTTGTATCATTCACTTTGTATTCTTTTATATTAAGGAATGAAATAAAGGATAAATAAATTATTATTTATGATCATTCACCTACTACTAAATGGACGGCGGATCTAGAACAAAATTCACGAAAAATGTGTCCCGAGTCAACCTGTACAAACGTATTATATATATAATTTTACTTGCGACAATTTATCAGCCTTTTAACTACAACCAGAGGCTGCATTCTTTTCGCCTTATGAAGCTTCTGGCGAAAATTATCGGTATGGTTTTATGTTTTTACAATTAATGTGAATTTAAATTAAATACTGCGTATCTTGTATCTAAACAAAATATTATTTTTAAATTATTAAATATTAATAGTCTAATATAAATAGTATCGAAAAAAAAATAATATATATAGTTTTGCTCGTTTTGTGATACTATACGGCAATTTGGAGTATATTATCGGGCGACAAAACGAAGACTGGCGTTCAATTCGAGCTCTTTTTGCATTTTGGAACTCTTTTGGCTCGGACACTTTTGAGCGCATAGCCGAGGTCCATTTAGTAGTAGGTCAATGTTTATGATATTATTTTAAATGATAAAAATTTATACATTCACAATAAAAATACTTACATATGGAATACAACTCCATCTTTTTGTAAACTTTAAGTATTTGACTGCTTTATGCACACGTTAACCGCACCGATTGGCATTTTTCAAAAAACACCTACTTCGGCGGAAATGATTCTTATAAAGATAAAAATCTAGTGCGTTTATAAATGCGAGGCGAGTCCACTGTGTTAAATGGTCGAAAGGCGTTAACTCACTTGCCTGCCGCAGGGGCAATCTAGGGTGTAGAAGTGGGGATTACCTTTTATTTCCTCCTTAATTGTGATGTGGTTATGAAAGCAGGGGTAATTTCCTAAGTCGGCCCTGTGGCTGGGCGGCAGGGGCGCAAGAACTTCCTTGCTCCCTAGATCATAGCTACCGTACCGCTGCTGTAGCGCAATTGGAACAATTTCAATCAGTTCGTTAATGACTTTCGCGCGCAACACACTTCACAATAGATATCAATAAAAAATGTGAAATTTGGACACTGGTGATAGAAGTGTATAAACAGCGGATTCTTTACCCATTATCTCCTTTTTTTTACGACAGCGCCGCAGAAGGATGTTATTTGAACGTTGTAACGTTTTTAAACGTGGTAGAGTCATGCTGCAGCTTTTAAGGACTGTGTTATGGTTGTAATTATTAATTAATTAGTTGTTTTATCATAAATACGGGTGTCTATGGGCCACAGTATTTCCTTAACATCAGGTGGACTGTGCTCATTTGTCACCCTTATTCTTTATAAAAAAGAACCAAGGCTATATTTACCGATTCATTTTTTTTTATTCTCTTTAGCACAGTGTTGCCAACCAGCCAATTTCTTGATTCCGCTAAGGACTGACAGCTGCCAAGTAGCGCCACCAACAGGTTTAATATTATAACTTCTAAATAAGAGCGCTGTTTTTCTGATTTAGAAGTTATAATATTAATAGTGATAGATAAGTATACCCTTTTACCATTGGATAGTTATCATTGGTTCGATGTTTTATGAAAATACATCGATACATCGAGTATATCAATAACTTTCCAAAACATCGGATCGATTCGATGCATCGTATTGTAAACATCGAGTGAATTCGATGCATTGCTACATATATATTTATCTACGCGATGCATCGATGTATATCGAATATCCCTACAGTACAGTGCGATAAATAAAATTTAATTATTTGTTGATTAGCTTGCTATTGCTACATGTTATATTTATTTATCTATGTTGTTGATTGCTGATCATTTCAGATCATTTTAATTAGCAATTAATCACAAATAAGTTTGCTTTTTACAAGTTTTCCTTCTTATTGAATATATTTATTACGATTTAATATGCAAATGGCGGGACTTGAATCCATGGTCGTAGAAGAGGTTAAGCCAGTTGATAGAGAAAAGGTATTTTTCCATAACTTCTAACAGACAAACAGAAATAACCTTTCATAACTACATGATGTATGAAACTGTACTATTGCGTGTACTAAAACGAAACAAATCTTTTTGAAGTATTGGGTAAAATATAATAACAAAACTTTTAGAAACATGAACTGAGGAAATTTAAACCAAAAATACTACTTGACTTTATATTATTTAAAACCTATTTTAGTCTTCATTTGGTTAATAGAAACCTAATTTTTAGTAGGTATTAATTTAATTGTGATCTTTTTCAGACTTGTCCATTATTACTCCGTGTGTTCTGTTCTACTGGAAGGCATAATTCTCCTGGTGACTATGCTAGGGGAAATGTACCTCAAAACGAACTTCAAATTTATACATGGATGGATGCAACACTTAGAGAACTCACTGGGTTAGTGAAAGAAGTTAATCCTGAGACAAGGCGTAAAGGAACATATTTTGATTTTGCAATAGTATATCCAGATATGAGAACTCCAACTTATCGCATGAGAGAGATTGGTGTGACATGTTCAGGACAACGTGGTGGTGATGATAATAAAACGTTAGCTCAAGTTAAATTTCAGATCGGCAACTATCTAGATATTTCTATTACTCCATCCAACAGAATGCCACCCCCCATGAGGAGACCACAACCATATATGAATAATCGTCCTTATTAATTTAATAACTGACTACTATGTGATGTGATTGTAAACAAGATCTTTTCAGTTAATTACAGTGTTTTAAGTGCAGACATTTAAATATTATTTTTGATTCTCTGACCCGCTTAGATATGGGTTGTTATGTGATTTTAGTTGAACATAAAGTAAATAATGATAACATAACTAATTTTAAAAATAATAATTTCTGTAACTAATACAGTAATAGTTTTGAGGCAAGTTGATTCTATCAAAGTGTTTTAGTTTCTTACAAAACACAAATATCATGTGCATGATATACTTATTTATAGGACTGATTATTATAAAATCAAAACATTTAATAATTATAATAAGTAGTATTGCATTCCTATTAGGTTCATTTCATTTTATATAATTAAAAACAGGAAGCAAATTAATATAAAACTTATAAAGTAACTTGTTTGATTTATTCATAAGATTTCATTATTTTATGTTTTATATTAAATAAGCAAAGAAGAAAAAAGATTTTCTTGTGGTAGCGTCATAGCAGTAAGTAAAGTAGGGTGTTTGCCCCCCACTAGATACTGATGACCTGGGAAGAAATGCAGGGAGTTGATAGATGTAACTGGCTCAGGATCTTGTATTTTGGCGTTCATTGGAGAAGGCCTATGTCTAGTTGTAGACTTGTGTTGAGTTTTAATGAAGATGATGATGAAATAAAAAAGGCATTAGGCAATGGATGGAAGTGCTAACATTTTCCTTGAAATAGTTATAAATGTGTAAGAAATTATTTGTTAACATACATTGCTAAATAAATTATAAAAAACAGGCAGTTTTGTACTTTTGCCATGTTAGGTTCTTAAAACATCAAAAAAATCGAAATATGAAGTATTTTTTACCATAACTGAAACTGATCAGATGTTGGAGCAAAAGTGTAAATGAGCATTTTTCAAAAAAAAAATGACCGTTACTTAGCTGCAACATTTTGTGTCCAAAAAAAAATTTGCATTAAATCACACATGAGCAGATACATAATTAAACAATGTATGTAATGAAATAAAATATATTGTGTAAATTGTAATAAAAGCGGGAAATAAAGGAATTTATTTTCGTTCTTTTGTAACAAATGGTTCCATTTTGTCACTTTAATAACTTCTACTTTGTATAAAGAAAACACATTTTTAGTAAGTATTTTTTATTTTTTGTAGATATTAATCATTATTTTTTTAAATAATAATACTTTGATAGAATTACGTCATTTTTGTGACTTAACATCTTTCAAATTTTAATATATATAGCATTTAGTTTAAATAAACATCAATGAAGTGGTAACAAGAGATATAATTGTTATAATTAAACATTTTTATACAACTACATGTCTTAATTCTCCTAAAATTTTATATAAATCTTAAACAATTATATATATATATGGGAAACGTTTAAGTTTATATTTAAATTATATTTACACTGCTAGCAATAAATCGTTTTTAAGTTTAGTCAAAAACAATAATTAGGAGAATTAATAATCTGGATCAAGGCAAATTGAACAAATATAATCAAAAAAATCTGTACTACTAATCTATTAAACTTAAAGAATCTCTTTTACAAAGGTGACAAACAAAACAGCAAATTTTTCTACTTGTTGAAGGTAACAATACTTTTACTTGACGCTTATTTTCTTTATGACGTGTTCTCTCGCTAACATTTTTTGATGGTGGGTAATCTCTATCTTCAATGTACGGACCTTTTTCCTAGTTGCAGCAGCATTTGATGTAGTGGGTAGAAATTCAATATTATGTGAATCTGTGTTTTCGGTGTACGTTATGTTACTTAAAGGAGTATTATTAGCAGCTACTCTTGGAGTTTCTCGATCTATATTAAGAGATGGTGTCTCAGTATCAAAAGGTTGTGTACAAACTAATTCACTATCCATTATAAATGACATATCTTGTAGTAACGAATCTGTAAGAATCAAATCGTCGTGGCTTGGTGAAATCAAGGATAGTAAGGAATCATCAACAAGGATATTTTGTAAACTTGAAAGATTATTATCAATAACTGTATTACATACATTACACTTCAATATTGAGACATCATCAGGATTTCTCTCCACAGGCAATAATAGATGAATTTCAGGTTCCTGCCAATTACACAACCCTGGCATGTCATTACAAAAACAACTAATTAACCGGTGCTTGACAACATTTTTTTTACCGATAATATCTGATGCAATCTCATTGTACCAGGAACAGCTTTAATGGTTTTTGGAATAAGTTTGCGAATATTAGTAATATATATATCGTTTATGTAAAAACATTTGATGGTTTTCATTACATCTAGTAGAATGTTATTGCATCAGTTGCATTAGTTACGTCCTTACCATAAGCTACTCTTCTATCAAGCTGCCGTTTTACCGTCCCTCCAATACCATCAGCGATGCTTTTTCCATGTCCACTTTCCTAGAAAGACCATGTAGAGTATTTTAGTTTTAGTTTCTCTGTGAATAAATTTAATAAAAAAATTATTTTGGCGATACTGACTGGTGGGGCCGTCGGAAAAGAAATGAATTACATTGATAGGGTAGTTTTCTTTAGCAAATCTTATGACTGGTAATAGATGTGCCCAGATAGCTTGGGATTCGTGGCAATTACTGTCAGCAATTGTGGTAAATGATTGACATTTTTTTTGAAAATTATCACACCAGTGTGTATTGAAATTGACGTTTTTGAAGCACCAAAGTGCATTGATTGTATTTCATTTGCATATTTACAGTCAAAGTTTTGTGAGAAGTCACACAAAAGCATTACTTCATCTTCTTTTAGTTTGTTAACACATTTTTTTATACCGTCTTTGTTGTTCTTTCCAATTATAGTAATGAATTTTGAATAGTACTAGTAATTTCTGTAATTCAGATACTAAATAATGAACTGTTCCATTATGTTGTTGTTTTATGGTCTTTTTTGTTGTCATTTCTTTTCCCAATTTTTCGTACTTGTGGTCGATCCTTGCCCATTTCCACCATTTTATTTATCTACTTGACATTTCTTGTGCATATTCAATTTTGGGGATTTTGCAAACTAAGCAATTTCCATACATGCAATCATATGATTTAGTATCACAAGAAAATACACTTACAAGTTTCTCAACATTTTTGGACCTTATTTATTTTATTTGACTTTAGTGATTGAAAAATGAAATCAACGTTGCTATGTTTGATGCACATACACGTATCCCTAACGCCTATAGTGGGAGATAAAATATAAAATGGTTTACATCTGTAAAATTTTGCAAAACTGTACCTTCTTCTTTGTAAATCTCGTAAAGATTACGCAAAGTATCCACCATATATCTTATTTGCATTCTATTTCTTCCTCTAGTTCTGCACTCTTTTTCTCCTGCAGTGCACCTAGTCACATCGTCTCTGAGATAAAAGGATTCGATTTCTTCCCTTACTTTTGTATTATACGCGGTTTGTCAGAAAATCGAATAGTCCTTTTGAGTCCAAAAATTGTTTGAGCATTACAATTTTTGTTGGTCTTTTGTGTATTTTTTATAACCTTTATTATGTATAACCTTTTTAAATGGTCGTTTAGTTTCTTGTGTCTTACAGTTAGTTTTATAGATTACTCGGAATGATTGCTCAAACTTTTCACAGTTTTCTTCCAAATCTTTAATTATGATTTCCAGTCTTTGAACGTCCCTTGTTTTAGATTCTAAAGCTAATTTACTTCTTTGCAGTCTTTTTCTCATTCGACCTACTAACAATCTCAATTTTTTACATTTTTCTCAGAATGTAATAATAAACAGTTAGCACGTCTCAGTTTCTTTTTTAAATTATTGTTTAATTTTATGTTTTCTTTTTTCTCTCCTTTCGACTTGTGTTCAATTTTTTTACGTCTTTGTTTTTCTTTCAGTTTCCTCTAAAGTTCTCTTTTTCTTTCTTTTTCTTCATCGTTTAGATCACTAACCTTTTTTTGAGCTTTTTGAACTCTTTCTAATTGTTTTTTCTTATAAGTTATCTTTCTGGATCTTGCTTCAATTTTTCTCTAAATCTTTTTGCTCGTTCTGCTCCCGTTAAAGGCATTTTATACATTATAAAAATATCTGAAATAAAAAAATTCTAATATACCGTAAAACCTTACAAGTTTGCCCAACTAATCTGAGTTTGCCCAGTAAGGAACTTTTTACAAAAATTTAAAAAAATCTGGCAACATTTTAGTTGCGTTTATTAATTAATCTATGGAACAAATTTGAATACGTCTCCGGCAACACTAAGTAACTGTTTTTTTCTAACGTCATTTCACTAGGCTGTTAAACTGTGTCGAAGTTGGTGGTGTATTTTGCGGGCCAAAAGTCGTGCAAAAAACTTTCTTCAAAACTCGATTTGTAATTACAGCAGGTAAGTAAGTTTTTTTTTCACTGTTAGTTTGTAATAAACACACAAGAAATATCAAATATCCAACGCGAAATCTCTCTTAAAGTTGAAAATATCACGGTGGGCAATGTCAAATTGGTTATTCTAAAGCAGTCATTACGACTTTGCCCACCAAAATATTACCGTTAGGGTTGTCACCTCAATGTTGACAGAATGAGAGGATATACAACGCATTACAATAATTAATACATATGATAAAAAAGTAAACGTTGTTGTAAAAAGTATTGAATGTACCTATTTGCAAAATAATTAGGTTGATTAAGTTTAAGATCTTTTTTTGTATGTAAATTTTCGTTTAAATGTCGCTAAATGGTCTGAGAAACATCTTAAATAAGTATCATTATGCTATCTCTTAAAGGTACTAAGCAGTGTACCAAGTCTCTCATTATGTTAACTGTATTTATTTTTGATGCTATTAAACCAAAAAAAATTGTTTTTTTTTCTCATACATATACAGTTTTTTTTTAGGAGTGCAATAACCTTATTTTGGTTAAGCGTATTTGTTAATTATACTGAGGTCTCTTTTTCAGGATGAATAATACTAAGCCAAAAAACACAAGAAAAAGAAATAGAAAATTAGGATCGAGAGCATATAGAAATTATTCAGAGAAAATGTTAGAATTAGCGGTTGACATGGTAGAAAATAGCAGGATGTCAAGTCGGGAGGCAGAAAAGAGGTTCGGAATCCCTCGACGGACGATATTGAACAAAGTTAAAAAAATTCACTTGAAACCAGCTGGAGGACAAAAGAAACTCACTGAAGAAGAGGAAGAAAAACTGGCAAATGTGTTGTTAGCTTCAGCAGATTACGGCAGTCCCATGTCGAAAATGGATATAAAAATGTTGGTCTATAAATACGTAGAAAAAAATTCACGGACTGATTTGTTCGATGGCAAATTACCCAGTGATACTTGGGTGGAAGGATTTTTAAACAGACATCGTTCGATATTGACCATTAGAACAACCCAAAATATAAAAAAAGTACGGGCCGAGAAAGGATTGGAAGAAATGGAGCAATTTTATACCAATTTACGTGAAACGCTAAATGGTGTACCACCGATGAATATACTGAACTACGACGAGACTAACTTGTCCGACAATCCAGGTACTTCAAAATGTGTATTCAGAAGGGGCGTCAAACATCCTGAAAGGATTCTAAATAACACAAAAAGTTGCATTTCTATTATGTTTACTGCAAGTGCAGCTGGGACATGTCTACCAATATATGTGGTTTATAAAGCTTCAAATTTATATTCAGAGTGGCTAGAAGGAGGACCAGCTGGAACCAGATATAACTGTTCGAAATCAGGTTGGTTTGATACGTCTTCATTTGAAGATTATTTCAAAACTATAGTGGTTGACTGGGCGAGACAAATTTCCGGGCCAAAAGTAGTCATTGGTGATAATTCGTCTTCCCACATAAATATTGAAGTTGTGGAATTGTGTCAAAAACACAATATAAGGTTGGTATTTTTACCACCAAACTCCACTCACCTAACACAACCGCTGGATGTAGCATACTTTGGCCCACTAAAAAGAGAGTGGAAAAAGATCTTGTTGGATTACAAATGGAAGAATCCTGGACAAACTACCTTGAACAAAAAACACTTTCCAAAACTTTTGGCTCAATTACTAGAAAATATGAAACATAAAGAAAGCCATAACATAATAAGTGGCTTCAGAGCCACAGGAATATGGCCTGTAAATCCACGAAATGTTTTTAAGAGAATCCCAGAGTATTTCGAGGATTCAGAATATGGATTTGATACGACTTTATTGGATTATCTCAAGGAATCAAGGGCTGCTAAGCCAATGCAAGTAAAAAGAAATAAGAAATTACGCACAGAACCCGGAAAGTCGGTATGTGCTGATGATATTTCGAAAGTAAATATTCTACTAACAGTACGAAAAAAATCATCTGTAAGAAAAAATAAGGAAGATACAATAAAGATAAACCAAGAAAGAGAGACAGAAGATATTATGGCATCGTGGGATACAGAAAATGAGATATACTTAGATGAAATTACAGGTGAAGTGATAAGAAGGGAGGAAACGATTAAATACGATATGCCGTCGACCTCAGAAATCATCGCTTGGGCAAAACCAGCACTACGACCCCGATTTTCACCGGTAGTCTATAATCCATCCACACTTGATGCACTTAGTATCAAAATTATCAACATTCATTTAAGTTCACCAGCGCATGATACTAACGCTCAGCTTTCCGATGTCTGTGTATTAAATAAAAAAATGATAAATGACAGCCAGAATAAGCCTTTTGTAGCTTATGCTGAAAATGATATTCCAGATTGTATACGATCTAATAGTTCATCTAAATCTAAAGTTATAATAACCTCAGATGTTAAAGTAACCCCTAAGCAAATGAAGAACATCAAGAAAAAAATAAAATTAGGTACTGAAGTCATCGGGAAATCAGCTTTACAGATGAAAATTCTTACGAAGAAAGTGGGAAATGAAAATGGTAATGTGGTCTTATATGAAAAAAATAAAAGAAAACGAGAAAATTTAGCTAATGGAAGAAAAACAAAGGTAGCGAAACGGAAGAAATTGAGATCATATTATTGTGAAACGAGTTCTGAATCGGATATTCTGAGCATTGCAAACACAGATGATTCGGAATATGAGACATTTGATGAATATGTATCAACATGTTTACAAGAGATAGACAACAAGGAAAACTGTGAGCCAGAAAACTTCACTGCACCCTTTGGATTCAATGATATCACCTATTTTACAAGCGATGTAGATTTACGAGAAGAGGATTGGGTAGTTGTAAAATTTGCGACAAAAAAAAGCATTAAGCACTTTGTCGGCCGTGTTTTATATATAAAAAATAGTACTCCTACGGTAAAATTTGCAAGAAAAGTGAAAAATGCAAAAGATGGCAAAGTGATTTTTACGTATCCGAATGTGGAGGACGTGAGTGAAGTGAATCGTGATGATGTGGAAATAGTATTACCTCCACCAAGTATTTCTAGACGAGGCCAAATATTGTTTGATGTTACCTTTAATTCTTCCTACAATATACAATAATAAAATATTTTAATTTATTTATATGGAATTGCCAACACGCAAAGCTTTTCTCGAAATCTTCCAGCAATAAGGTAATTTCACAAAGAATGTTCCTAGGTTGTTTAAGAATAATTTGCCTCAAGAAGTACCTCGATGATTATTGTTGATTTTTTACAAGTTTGTCTTATTAGTCGTTTAATTTTGGATTGTTTATGTTAACTGTTATTGCCATAAAAATATAATGTTGACTTTACTGTATGTAGATTTAGGTTAATATATAGGTCATTTAAAACATAGACACGCACTATAAATTGTGAAACACAGTCCAATCACAGGTATAGTGCAGGTCTTTGTTTTGTATCACTACTTTAGTGTCGCAAAGCTCTTCTCGAAATTTTCCTGCAATAAGGTAATTTCACAAAAATTATTCCTAGGTTGTTTAAGAATAATTAACCTCAAGAAGCACCCCGAAGATTATTGTTGATTTTTACTAGTTTGTTTTATTAGTCGTTTTATTTTGCGTTGTTGATATTAATTGCTACTGCCATAAAAATATAATGTTGACTTTACTATATATAGATTTAAGTTAATATATAAGTCATTGGAAACATAGATCTGCACTATATTTGTGAAACAGTCCAATCACAGGTATAGTACAGGTCTCTGTTTTGTATCACTTCTGTAGTATAACTGTAAGCAGTTAGAAAAGTAAAATTAAGTTATATTTTATTTAAGAATAGAATAGAATAGAATAGAATGATTTTTTATTCAATATGGATTATTACATAATACTTATTGAAAGTCATTATTTTATTTACCACTGGTTCGGAAAATACCTCTGTCCTGGGAAGAACCAGCAAGAAACCCAGCGGGACTTTTTTTTTTAAACATAATTTCACTTAACAATAATTTTGATTATACAATTTTAAATGAATTTTCATAGAACCAGCATGGTGGTGATCACCTTATTCCCAGGGGTTATTTTCACTCATGTATTCCTTGATATTATAATAACCCTTTTTGTACAGTTTTTCTTTAATAAAACTTTTAAACTTGTTTATTGACAAACTTTGAACATGTTCTGGGATTCTGTTGTAAAAGCGTATACATTGCCCCATAAATGAATTACTAATTCTGTGGAGTCTTGTAAGTGGCATTACAAGCTTATGTTTGTTCCTAGTGTTTAAGGTATGAACATCCTTATTCTTATTAAAGCTATTTATGTTTTTATGTACATACATTACATTTTCATAAATATATTGCGATGCCAAAGTTAATATGTTTATTTCTTTAAATTTTTCTCTAAGGGACTCTTTACAATTTAGATTATAAATCGCCCGTACGGCTCTCTTTTGCAAAACAAATATAGCTTCAATATCAGTCGCATTACCCCATAGCAAAATTCCATAAGACATTACGCTATGAAAGTAACTAAAATACACTAACCTAGCTGTCTCAACATCTGTGAGACTTCTAATCTTTCTTACAGCATATGCTGCAGAACTAAGTCTGCTTGCTAATTTAGATATATGGGGGCCCCATTGCAGTTTCGCGTCAATAGTAATACCGAGAAAAACAGTGGTATCCACAAGACTCAACTCCTCCCCATTTAAGAGCACATTGGTTTTCGAATGTTTTACATTAGGTATTGTAAATTTAATACATTTTGTCTTATTGCCGTTTAAGAGCAAATTGTTGGCGTTAAACCAATGTACTAGTTTCGATAGAGCATTATTTACATCGTCATATTTAAGTGACTGCCGTTTCAGTTTGAAAATTAAAGAGGTATCGTCAGCAAATAATACTATATCGTGATTGTCCCCTACAAGATAAGGTAAGTCATTAATATAGATTAAGAACAGGAATGGGCCAAGAATCGAGCCCTGAGGAACGCCCATTGATACTACCGATCCGGAGGAACATTTACCATTAATGACGACTTTTTGAGTTCTGTTACTTAAATATGAAGTAATAAGTTTAAGCGCCAAATTTTTTACACCGTAATGTTGTAGTTTCCTGATTAATGTATCATGATGAACACAATCGAAAGCCTTGGAAAGGTCACAGAAAATACCTAAGGCATCTTGTGAATTCTCCCAGGCATTAAAAATATATTTCATAAGCTCAACACCGGCGTCAGACGTCGAGCGACCCCTTGTAAAACCAAATTGATTTTTATGAAGTAATTTATTTGTATTAAAAAAAATTAACAATTGATCCAAAATTATTTTTTCAAAAATTTTACTGAGAGTTGGTAGTACAGAAATAGGTCTATAATTAGCGGGGTCCAATGTACTACCAGATTTAAATAAAGGTATTACTTTACTATACTTCATTAAATCAGGAAACACACCAGAATCGATACAAATATTAAAAATAATAGCAAGATGAGGTGCAATTAAATCTATTATGGACGTAATCACTGTAACGGAAATCCCCCACAAATCTGCGGTTTTCTTTACATCAATGGTTTTGAAGTATTTTACAATATTATGCGGTAATACTTTTTCAAATCTAAATTCTTTTAAACAGGTATTAACATTCTGTTTAAGTAATGATTCGGCGACAGTTGGAGAAGAATTCAATGACTCTGTTGTCAAGATAGGAACATCAGTGAAATATTTCTCAAACACCGCTGCAACTTCTTGATTTGATTTAGTCAATTCATTATTAATTTTTAATTGATAGTTTGAATTACGAGGTTTCTCATTACCGGTTTCGCTGTTAATTATACTCCACGTCATTTTAATTTTATTCTTAGCTGTCTTAATTTTGTTACTAATATGTAATGATTTGGCTGTGGAGCAAACTCTTTTAAACATTTTAGAATAATTTTTTACATATTCTTTAAAAGCATCGGAAAGATTATACGATCTTTCATGGTAAAGGTCATATAACCTTCGTCTGCTTTTATGAATTCCTACTGTCGCCCACTCATTAAATGCCTTGCGACTGTTTCTGGAGAATGTTTTAGAAGTGAATGTTTTATAAAATTCATTGTTTATAAAGGTAAATAATTCTCTATATAAATAGTCTGCATTGTTCTTATAAGAAAGGGATGGAAGGATTTTTAACATATTACTTCTAAATCTCTCCAGGCGTTTTGCATTAATAGGAACAAACACAATTTTCTCATTTACCTGTTTTTTGTGCATATAAGGTAACGAAACTAGTTGTCCACAGTGATCTGAACTAAGTTTTTGAATTATTGATTTGTTGATTGGTACAACACCTGTAAAAATATTATCAATACAAGTTGCACTACACCCTGCAATACGTGTAGCTTCAAAGAATAAATTATTAAGATTATAGGATTTGAACAAAGAACAGAATTTAATACTGATGGAAGAAGTTTCCAGGAGATTGATATTAAAGTCTCCACACACTACAAGAGATTTATTCTGTTTATTAAGCTTAACTAAAACTTCTTCCATAATTTTTTCAAAAGTATCATAACTTGAACATGGGGGTCTGTAAACACTGACAACAATAAGGTGCTCAAGCTCAACACATGCCATTTCTACAGTACGCTCAACAGAGAGGCTCACAATGTCTTTACGTTCTTTACATGATAAGGACTTATTAGCTAATATTAAGGAGCCACCACGTAATTTAGTATCTCTATTGAACGAACTGACCACCTGGTGATTACTGAAATTAAATATGGAGTTGTATTCTTTCAACCAATGTTCTGTAATACATAAAATATTTATACTGTTACTATTTAAAAATAATTCAATTTCTAATTCTTTGCCTAACATACCTTGTATATTTTGATGCACCAGGTTGATACAGTTTTTATTATTTTTATTTTGTAAAATTGCATAATTATGTATTGGTAAGTTGCATTCTAAGCTATTTAAATTATCTTTGCTAGAGATTACCTCTATTGTTTTATTATCTAATTTAAATTACTTGGAACTGGTTCCAAATCAAATGTAAAATTATTTTGTTGCTCAAAAGAAGCAGGTGTCAAGGTAGCCAAATCATTGGCTGAGTTAAAATATAAATAATAAGATAGCGTATCTGCTACCAGTCTTAAACTATACTTTGATAGGTAATACCTATCTCTTGTCAAAAACTTCTTAGTTAAATTATTAATATCAATTAAATGAAATTTATCATTATTATTCTTACAATTAAATTAATTTAATTAATTTTGAAAATTAATTTTAAAATTAAATTAATTTTGATAAGGCTAATAAATGTTTAATTCCTATTACTTAGACATGCTAAGAGGTACTGTTAATCTATAGTATTATATTGTTTGTTTTAGAAATATTTCTCTTCAATATAGATTTATATGAGTCAACGTTTATATTAAGAGTTGATATTAAGCTTAATATTACCTATAGGTATTGTTTGTTTTAAAGTTAGTAAGCATTTGCTTTAAAATACTTCTAATTCTATGATTGTTTCAATAGTTTTAGATTAATGTTTAAGAGCAAGTTACGTGATCATAACTTACCTACGTACACCGTACTTTTATCAATAAAAAAGTGACAACCCTAGTTCAACCTTTCATTTGAATGAAAAATTGCAAAAAAATTGTTGCGACTTTGCCCACTCAAATTTTAAAGCTAAAATGAACTTTTGACGTTTAGTATTAAGATCCTATGATAGGTTGATTATTTTACTAAAATGACCCCTAAATCTAACGTTTTTAAAGTATAAAATAACGAAGTTACGGAGGTTTCTGCAAAATGGGCAAACTTGTAAAATGTTCTATATATTTGGCCCGCCGTCCAAATTAAGGTTTTTAGCACATAAACATTAATTGTCTTGATATTATCATAAATTCTATGCAAAGAATAATACAATTATCAATGGTGTAGCGCAATTACAAATTGAAAATAATATTATTTTAAAAAATATTTAAAGTAGAATAAAAAATCGCAAGAAATTTGGGCAAAGTTGTACGGTTTTACGGTAGTAGTTGTTATCAATAGTTACAATAAATTTCGGATATTATTACATAAATTAATATAACTTATCTGAAATCTATATAATAAAATCTTAAC